TTTTTTTTTTTTCTTTTCAGTTTTTAGCCAGGACTGGGTTTGAACCCAGCATATGGGGCTGATGCCTTACTCCTTTGAACCACAGGCACGGCTCCAGATTTTTCTTTTTTAACAAATAGTGCTAATGCTTTTGTCTCCTTGTGGTAATTGCTGTAGGTAGTCCCGGACTCCTGGATCCTTGTGAAAAGGATCCCTTTGATACCTTGGCAACAATGACTGACCAGCAGCGGGAAGACATCACATCCAGTGCACAGGTACTAGTACTCCTAAGCCCCAAAGCTTTGTTAAGTTACTGTCCTTTTAGATTTAAGTCACTATATAATCTTTCTTTTTTTTTTTTTTTTTTGAGACAGAGTCTCAAGCTATCGCCCTGGGTAGAGTGGAGGTTGGATTGAGCAACCTCCACCTCTTGGGCTCAAGTGATTCTCATACCTCAGCTTTTCTATTTTTAATAGAGACAGGGTCTCGCTTTTACTCAGGCTAGTCTCAAACTCGTGAGCTCAAGCAATTTGGTGTGAGCCACCGTGCCCAGCCTATAATGTTCTTTTATTTCTTTAGTAAGAACACCCTCAGAGAAGGTATTTTAAAATTTGCTTTTTACTAGATTACACTATAAAATCTTAAAATTTATTATTTATGTTGTGTGTCTAATATAAAAATACAGCAATATTTTCATTCTCATTGAATCTTGGTATTAAGGTATATATCAAGATCAGCAGAAACTCCTATATCCCCTTGGTTACACAGAAGGGGTATGCAATGATGGTTATAGTCATTATTATAATTTAGCCTTTCTTCCCCCTGTCCACTATAGTAAAAGTGGGAGCACCAGAGTCCAACTCCCTAGATTTGTATATCAGCTCTGCTATCTTATCTATAAAATGCAAATATAAACATCTTGTCACAAACAGTATTATTGGGAAGGTTGTTAGTATGTATATTAGCACCTCATATATAGAAGGATCTTAAATGTTAGCAAGTATCATCATCATTATCAATTATCAATCATATTAGAAGAGTAGTTACGAAAAAAACGTGAACTAGTGAATAAATGAGGAAAAAATCAAGTTGCTATAGCTTTCCTTTTTTGATTCTAGAAATACATTGAGTAGGAGGAAAAGGCAGACTATGAACAATAATAATCCACTTAAAGTAGTTGAAAATTGTTGGATTTAAGATCTCGATTTGTTGTCTTTTCTGGCAAGGGTTTGGAAGATGTCAGGATTAATGTAAATTTTTATACCAGAAAGTGTTTTGAAGAAAGTTATAGAACATTATGGATAACTTATGAGAAGTTATCCAGCATTACTGTGACTTTGCAATTTAGCCTTTTTTCATATTTTGCAATTACAGAATAGTGTGTGTGTGTGTTCTAAGCAAGTGATCATTTGGGCATTGTCCACTGTTAAGCAGTTTAGACTCACTGAAAACGAGTTAGGAGGTTCGGCGCCTATAGCTCAACCAGCTAAGGCGCTAGCCACTTACACCTAAGGTGGCGGGTTCGAATCCCCAGCCCGGACCTGCCAAACAACGACGGCTGCAACCAAAAAATAGCCGGGCGTTGTGGCGCGCCCCTGTGGTCCCAGCTACTTGGGAGGCGGAGGCAGGAGACTCGCTGGAGCCCAGGAGTTGGAGGTTGCTGTGAGCTGTAATGCCACGGCACTCTACCCAGGGGTACAGCTTGAGGCTCTGTCTCAAAAAAAAAAAAAAAAGAAAGAAAACGAGTTAGGAGTACCGGTACATTTTTTTTGTAAATACCAGATCTTTCTGGCTGAAGGTAAATAAATAGCCCATTTAAAAAGATATCAGCCAGGTGTGTGGTGGCTCACACCTATAATCCTAGAATTTTGGGAGATTAAGGAGGGTGAGGCAGGGCAAGAGCAAGACTTTATCTCTACTAAAAATAGAAAAATTAGCTGGGTATTGTGTCAGCCTCTTGTAGTCCCTGCTACTTGGGACACTGAGGCAAGAAGATTGCTTGAGCCCAGGAGTTTGAGGTTTGCCTGATCTCACCTTAGCTTAAACAACAGTAGGGTCTCATTTGGCTCTGAGTTCTGCTGACAGCTTGATACTGACATTTGGTGTGAACCTTTCTCATCTCCTTCTTTTAATTAAAAAAAAAAAATTGTAAATAATTAAATCAATTCCAGATAGAGAGGAAGATAGGGCTTAAAAATTGATTTTAATTTTCAGAAAGAAAAGTTTGATTCTACCAAATATCAAGACATTCTATAAAGCAACAAAAATATAAACAGTATAGTTATGACAAAAGTAGAAAAATAAACTTTTGGAATGGATGAATCTAGAAGTGGACCATTAGATATAAAGGGACCAATGTACAACAAAACTGACACTTTAGATTAGTGGGAAAGGTTAAGTCATTGTCGAGACAATTGGCTGATTATCTGGGAGAAAAAAGACACACACAAATTATCAAGGTATCAAGAGAAACACAATTTTACATAGGGAAGATATTGTAAGCAAAGTGTAAACAGAGGAAGCCATGAATGATTAGACCCAGAATCTCACTCTGTCACCCCAGCTCGAGTACAGTGGCATAGTCATAGGTTACTGCAACGTCAAACTCCTGGGCTCCAACCAGTCCTCCTGAGTAGCTGGGACTATACTAGTGTGCAGTACTGTGCCCAGCTCATTTTTCTGTTTTTAGTAGAGACGAGTCTCACTGTTGCTCAGGCTGGTCTCAAGCATTCCTCCCTACTCAGCTTCCCAGAGTGTTAGGATTATAGGTATGAGCCACTGCACCCAGCTGAGAATTTTTGTTTAATGTATAGTATCCAGAATGAGGAAGTAGACTTGCATACACATTATTAGTGGATAGTTAAATTAATCAGTATTATGTTTTTGGAATTCCATTTGTTAATATTCACCAGTTTTACATATTCAGCAGTTCCACTGCTTAAAACTTCAGTTAAGTTTGGTACATTCACATGAGTATAACTGCAGTTCCTAAATTATATCCTTTCTACCACATATCTAAAGAGGTTATCACCAGGCACTCTATTAAAGCAAGTATTTCTGTCTTTATGGAATCTTAAAAAATACAAAAGGCAAATAGCTCCCATTTTTCAACACCCTGCTTCTTTCCTTTTTTTTTTTTTCTTGAGACAGAGTCTCACTTTGTTACCTCCGATAGAGTGCTATGGCGTCATAGCTTATAGCAAACTCAGACTCCTGGGCTTAAGAGATTCTCTTGCCTCAGCCTCCAGAGTAGCTGGATTACAGGCACCCACCACAATGCCCAGCTGTTTTTAGAGGCACAGTTCACTCTGGCTCAGGCTGGTCTCAAACTTTGAGCTCAGGCAGTCTACCTGCCTTGGCCACCCAGAGTGCTACTATTACAGGCATGAGCTACTGCACCCAGCCCTGCTTATTTCCTTGATTATCACTTGTCATTATTTTATTTTTCTTGTGTTTATTTCCATTAACTGGCAAGCTTCATGAAAGCAGAAACTTTGCTTATTGTTTACATTCTGGCATAGTAAGTGCTTAAGTCTGTTAAAGTGAACAAATGTATAAATGCATGGTGAATTGAAAAATGTTGAAGAAGCATAGTTCTCTTTTTGTGAAGCTAGGAAGGTGAAAGTCAGTGCACCCAGTGCCTGAGCTCTGAGTACTGAGTTCTGTATACTTGGGCATCGAAAGAAAACATGGAGTGGGAGAATACGTGACCATGAACAAAAGAAGGGCTCACTCAGTGACAGAGACACTTTTCTTTTGATATGTGTTGTTTCAGGATAGTCTGTCTGTTTTTGATGAACATAAATGTATTCAAAGAAATATTTTTTGACTTGGTTTTATTTATTTATTTTTTGCAGTTTCTTTTGGCCGGGGCTGGGTTTGAACCCACCACCTCCGGCATATGGGGCCGGCACCCTTGACTTGGTTTTAGAAAACAAAATAGCACGCACCTAGAAAAGCCTGAAAATAAAAATATCAGAATATATGGATTATTGCAGCATGCAACTAATTTATTGTTCTTTCATTAAGCATACTTTTTTATATTGTTATATTGGGGTGTTAAACATGATTACTATTTGAGTTTTTTTAATTAACTCTAAATTCTGACTTTTTTTGTTGCAGTTTGCATTGAGACTCCTTGCATTCCGCCAGATACACAAAGTTCTAGGCATGGATCCATTACCCCAAATGAGCCAACGTTTCAATATCCACAACAACAGGAAACGAAGAAGGGATAGTGATGGAGTGGATGGATTTGAAGCTGAGGGGAAAAAAGACAAAAAAGATTATGATAACTTTTAAAAAGTTTCTGTAAATCTTCAGTGTTAAAAACAACAGGTGCCCGTTTGTTGGCTGTTTTTCATTCATAATAATGTCTACTTTGAAAAATTTATCAAGAATTTTAAAGATTTCATGGAAGAACCAAGTTTTTCTATGACATTAAAAAGTTAATGTACAGTGTTAGGTATTATATGAATGGAAAGACACCAAAAAAAAAAAGAGAGAGAGAGAAGCATTGTGCTCTGACTAGGGGGAAAATTGGTTCTGATTTTTCCCCCCATTATTTTGGTTTTATTTTCTGGTTACCCTAGCTCTACCCTCCCCTATTTTTGTGTCTTTTATTAACTAGTGCATTGTCTTATTAAATCTTTACTGTATTTAATGCAAGATTTGTGCTTCAGTTGCTCTATGTATTTTGATATTTTTATTTAGACATTTTGTTTGCTTTTGACACTAGTTGTAAGTTACTTTGTGTTATAGATGATATCCTTTACCCTTTCTTAATATTTTACAGCAGTACGTTTTTTTGTAACGTGAAACTGCAGATTTTTTTTTCTTTTGTTCTATATGTGAAGGATTACAACACAAAAAGTTATTCTGCCATTTGAGTGCTCAGAACTGAATGTTTCTGCGGATCTTGTGGCATTTGTCTCTCTAGTGTGATATATAAAGGTGTAATTAAGACAGATTTCTGTTAATTAATCAAGTTTGCTGTTAGTTGTGCATTAGCAGTATAAAAGCTAATATATACTATACAGTCTTGCAACAGTTTTAAAGCCTCTGCATAATTGATAATAAAAATGCATGACGTTTTTGTTTTTAATAGACTTTTAAAATTATAATTTTAGGTTTAACACGTAGACTTTGTACAGTTGACTTTTTGACATAGCAAGGCCAAAAAATAACTTTCTGAATATTTTTTTCTTCTGTATAAGTGGAAAGGGCATTTTTCACATATAAGTGGGCTAACCAATATTTTCGAAAGAACTTTATCATTGTGCAGTTAACAACAGTAACTAGCCCTTAATTACAGTGACAGCTCCTTATCGGTGTGTGTGAGATTACTCTAGCAACTATTAGAGTATAACACATTTGAATGATCTCCCCCACACCCCATCACCCAGATAATTTACAGTTCTATTAACAGTGAGGTCAGTAAAGTATCACTGATAAAAAATTAAGATTACGGAAAAAAAAACCAGAAAATTATTTGGTGTGGCCATCTTACATGCTTTTATGTCTCCTACACAAAGCTAAATATTCTAGCAGTGGTGTAATGAAAAGTTACATCTTACTGTTGATGTATGTATGCTCTGATACACAGACGTCATTTTGTTGTCATGGCACTACAGTGAAATACACAAATAAAAACAAATTCATATAATGACTTAAATGTATGATATGTTAGAGTTGACATCATAAACTACTTTTGCTTTGAAATGACTATGGCTTCAGTAAAATCATATTTAAATTTATTGGGCACTATATTTTGTTTGTACTCTTGATCTGTTTATTAATTACCTGAGCACATAATCGCTAGAAAATTTTATAGTTTGATACCATATCGGTTCGGTTTCTTTCTTCCTAGGGTCAGAATCTTCTCCCCAGAATCTTAGAAGGCCAGGAAATACAGGATACCACTGGGAAAATAGAACCAGAGACCCAAGCTTTTCTTGAATATCAGTTGAGTCTCTAAACTCAAGAACTGAAACTTCTTGCACACTAATACTCAAAGGAAATGCTCATTGGAGCTTTTCAGAATAGGGATACTAATATAATGCAAGTATTCCAAAATTCGAAATACTTATCCTAAGTATTTTGGATAAGACATCCTCAACCTTTACTATCATATAACTTGGACAAGATTTTAAGATTTTCTTCTTTGTTTCCTTCCTTCCTTTTTTTTTTTTTTTGAGACAGTCTCACTTTGTCATGCTCAGTAGTATGCTGTGGCATCACAGCTCACAGCAACCTCCAACTCTTGGGCTTAAGCCATCCTCTTGCCTCAGCCTCCTAAGTTGCTGGGACTACAGGCACCCACCATAACACCCAGGTATTTTTTTGCTGTAATTTGCCTGGGGCCGGGTTTGAACCCTGTTTATGGGGCCAGCACCCTACCCACTGAGCCACAGGCGCCACCCCCTTCTTTTTTTCTTTTTTCGAGACAGTGTCTCACTTCGTCACCCTTGACAGAGTGCTATGGTGTCATAGCTTACAGCAACCTCAAACTCTTGGGCTTAAGTGAACCCCCGAGTAGCTGAGACTACAGGGTTCCCACAACATCCATCTATTTTTAGAGGCAGGGTCTCACTGTCTCACTCTGACTCAGGCTGGTCTCTGAGCTCAGGCAATCCACCCACCTCAGCTTCCCAGACGGAGTGCTAGAATTATAGGCATGGGCCACCTCACCTGGCCTTTCTTTTAAATGTATTTGTACTCTTCATGGACTTCATTTTACTTTCCTTTGAGTATTTAGTCATTCAGTAAAGTTTTAGAATTTTGTTTCTCAACAGCTGTCTTAAGAGGGAAGGAAGGGAACTGACCTTTATTATTATTCAGTGATTACAGTCACCAGGGTGGGTCTTTTTACATGTTTTTGCAGTTAAATTATGACATGTGTGCAGATGCTATACTTTTTATTTTCCAAATGAACCTGAAGCCAGAGTGGCTAAGAAATTAAAGATTATATTTCTTATTTATGATGTCAGTAATTAAGCAACAGTTGAATTTGAGACCCACATTTCAAAGTCTATGATCAGCACTTTGCCAAGCTGCCCCCTTCGCTTTCCAATTATGTTCTAAAAATATTTTCAACCTACATTACAAATTTTTGCATTTGGTGCTAGGCCTGGTGGCTTACACCTATAAATCAGCACTTTGGGTGGCTGAGGTGAGAGGGTGGCTCTGGGACCAGGACTTCAAAACCAGCCTGGGCAACATAGCAAGACCCTCATCTCTAATAAAAAAATTTTAATTAAAAAATAAGATTGCATTTGGATGTCTACATCCAGAAATAGAATTGGTACTATTTAATTTTTCACTAAAATAGTTACTTCTGTATTTGTTTTTTACATAGCTGTTTTTATTGCTGTGAGCTAGAGCCACATTGACCATCTTATGAAAGAATTAACTTGGATTGAATATTAATACCTTCTGCTTTCACAGGTTTTTTTTTTTTTTTTTTAGTGACAAAGTCTCACTTTATCACCCTTCATAGAGTGCTGTGGCATCACAGCTCACAGCAACCTCCAACTCCTGGGCTTAGGCGATTCTCTTGCCTCAGCCTCCCAAGTAGCTGGGACTGTAGGCGCCTGCCACAATGCCTGGCTTTTTTTTTTGTTGTTGCAGTTTGGCCGGGGCTGGGTTTGAACCCACTACCCCCAGTATATGGGCCCAGCGTCTTACCCACAGAGCCACAGGTGCCATACATGCTTTGACAGTTCCTAAAACGCTAAATATTCTAATTCCTAAAATTCTAAACTTTCTAGTCAAAAGAAGCATTGGTTATAACCCAGCTAATGCATTCTTGAACCAGTTTTGGCAAACTGATTTACTTACTAGTTATTCCCTGTGTCTCAGACTGGCTTTCTGTGACATGCTTATGTTATATTTAATGATAGCCGAAGTAAAAGAAATTGATTCTTACCCTCCTGCAATTATATAATGCATTCCAAATTTGATTTTTCTTTAATTTTCTTAACCTCTACTATGTTTATTTATTTAAATAAGCTATAATTAAAAATAACAGAATTGGGTGGATTGCTTGATGTCAGGAGTTTGAGAACAGCCTGTGCAAGAACAAGACCCCATCTCTACTAAAAAATAAATAGAAAAATGAGCCAGGCATTGTGGTGTATGCATGTTATCCCAGCTACTTCAGAAAGCAGAAGCATGAGGATCACTTGAGCCCGAGAGACTGAGAATTCTGTGAGCTAAGATGATGCCACAGGACTCAGAGCAACAGAATGAAACTGTCTCAAAAATAATTAAAAATAAAAATGCAGAAACTCGGTGCCTGTAGCTCAACAGCTAGGGCTCCAGCCACATACACTGGAGCTGGCAGGTTCGAATCTAGCCTGGGCCTGCCAAACAACAATAACAACTACAACCAAAAAATAATAATAGCTGGGCGTTGTGGTGGACCCCTTTAGTCCCAGCTACTCGGGAGGCTGAGGCAAGAGAATCACTTAACCCCAAGAGTTACAGGTTGCTGTGAACTGTAACACCACAGCACTCTACCTAGGGTGACATAGTGAGACTCCGTCTCAGAAATAAAATTAAAATGCAGAATTGGCCAGGCATGGTGGCTCACCCTACAATTCTAGCACTATGGGGTGCTGAAGCAGGAGGATCCCTTGAACTCAGGAGTTTTGAAACCAGCCTAAGCAAGAGTGAGAGCCTATCTCCACTAAAAATAGAAAAAATTAGTCAGCTGTTGTGATGGGTGCCTTTAGTCCAGCTATTTGGAAAGCTAAAGCAGGAAGAGCAGCACTTGAACCCAGAAGTTTAAGGTTACTGTGAACTGAGCTCACACCACAGCACTCCAGCCTAGGTGACATAGTGAGGCTCTTAATAAGTATGCAGAATTGCATGAACAATAGGAAAGAATATCTGACTTGAAGTCAACAGTGTTATAACATTTACTGCTTATCAGCTTGGCGCCTGTAGCACAATGGTTATAGCACCAGCCACATACATCGAGGGTGGCAGTTTCGAACCCAGCTTGGGCCAGCTAAACAACGACACCTACAACAAACAGCCAGGTGTTGGGCGGCACCTGTGGCTGAGTGAGTAGGGCACTGGCCCCATATACCAAGGGTGGTGGGTTCAAACCCAGCTCTGGCCAAACTGCAACAAAAAATAACCGGGCTTTGTGGTGGGTGTCTGTAGTGCCAGCTACTCGGGAGGCTGAGACAAGAGAATTGCCTAAGCCCAGGAGTTGGAGGTTGCTGTGAGCTGTGATGCCACAGCACTCCTACCAAGGGCGACACATAGACTCAGTCTCAAAAAAAAGATTTCCTGCTTATTGAAAAAAGTGGAAATCTTGTTTTATATGGTCATACTGAGTTGTCAATACATATTATGAATGTAACTTAAAAAGTTCCTTTAATTGGGCAGTACCTGTGGCTCTAAGGAGTAGGATGCCGGCCCCATATGCCGAAGGTGGCAGGTTCAAACCCAACTCTGGCCAAAAACTGCAAAAAAAAAAAAAAAGTTCCTTTAATTACCCACCATTTTTTATTAAAAAAAAAAAAAAATTCACAGAGCTATACTTCCCAATAAAGGGAAAATGTAGGATCCTAAAAGATGATTTCATAGTTTCATAGCAGTAGTTTCAAACTTGACTGTGAATGAGAGTCTTCTGGGGAACATTAAAAATTAAGATTTCTAAGCCCGAATTGCGAAGTATTTTTTTGTTTTTTGTTTGTTTTTAGCCAGGGCCAGGTTTGAACCTGCCACCTCCAATATATGGGCCAGTGCCCTACTCCTTTGAGCCACAGGTGCCACCCTAATTGCAAGGCAGAATAAGCCTGAGCATCTGCATTTTAAAATGGCATTCTTTGGGCATTATTTGGATGGCTCATAAACATAGTAAGAAAGTCTAAAGCTGGTGGCACCTGTGACTCAAAGGAATAGGGCACCGGCCCCATATACCAGAGGTGGTGGGTTCAAACTCGGCCCTGGCCAAAAAAGAAAAAAGTCAAAAGCTACAAAATGGTACACAGCATAAAGTAGATATTTAGTATCATGCCTCACTTTGTCTTCCAGTTATGTTAATCCCCTTCCCAGAGGCATATACCTGTTTATCCTTCTGCAGATGATCTGTGCCACATATTAGCATGAATATATGCATCCTTTGTCCTTTACGCAAATGCCAGCATGCAAAGTGCATTGTTCTGTATCTTCCTGTTCTTCACTTAATGTACGTTGAAGTCTTGGAGATTTCTTAACAGTAGACAGAGAAACTGAATATTTTCCCAACACTATAGGATGCCAGGCACAGTGACTCATGTCCACAATCCCAGCACTTCAAGAGACTGAGGCAGGAGGATCACTTAATCCCAGAAGTTCAAGTCTGGCCAACATAGTGAGACCCTGAAAACAATTTAAAAATTAGCCAGGTATGGTCAGGTACCTGTAGTCCCAGCTACTCAAGAGGCTGAGACAGAAGCAGAAGGATCACTTGAGCCCAGGAGGTCAAGGTTGCAGTGAACTATGTATGATCAGTAGTGCATTCAAGCCTGGATAACAGGATAACCTTATCTCTTTAAAAAAAAAAAAATAATAATAAAGCACTATAGGAATCTTACAAATTAGATTTTTTTTTTTTTTAAAGACAGAGTGTCACTCTTATCACTCTGGGTAGAGTTCACAGCAACCTCAAACTCCCAGGCTCAAGAGATCCTCTTGATTCAGCTTCCCAAGTAGCTGAGACTATAGCCACCCACCACAATGCCTGGCTGGTGTTGAACTC